CTGGGCGCCGACCCGCGACGCCCCTGGCACGGCTTCGTCGACGCGCGGGCGCACGCTTTAGCGTCGCCGCTTCTCGTCTACGGGTTCCTGTCAGCTTGGGCGGCCCCCGCGCCTCTGGCTAAACTCCCCGTCAAACGCCTGGAGAGGCCGAGCGAACGGCCCAAGGCGGGCGACACAAAATGCCATTTGTTCCCGGAGGAGCGTTTTAAATCCAGGGGATGCCCTATCCACCGCACGGCAGTCGCAGCGCTGTGCCCGTGCCTGGCCCGGCCCAGGCAGCCTTGCTTCGTTTTTTGAGAGGCTTTTTTTTCTTTGTTGCTGCTTGTTAGTCATAGTTGCTTTTTGTAACACTGAGGTTACTGTGCGTCGGTACTGCTGCGGGAAAATGTAGATTTATAAAGGCATCGTTACGACCAAACTGCGCCAGGTCCCCGGGCGAAAACTTTTCTTGAACTTTCCAAGCAACTGTGGAGACACTAGAGTCAGTTTTTGGTTGCATTTCCAAAAATATCCAACTGCGCAGCTCTTGTTAACCAAAACCGGCGCTGGCCGTGCGTGACACCTTGGCGCACGTGGCTCAAGGGTGCATCTGGTTAGAGCACAAGCGTAAAGCCTTTTGTGGACTTGAGATTTCCTTTTTTGTTTGACCGCTAGTTTTACGGCTTTGGGAAAGTCACCATAAACACATCGGTTGCTCAGTTTCTGCCTCTGTAAAGTGTAATCATGAATTTTGGCTGCTGGGAATTGAAGGAGGTTGGGGATTTACTGTACAGGAAATAATTCTGTGTGATGTGGACCGACAGGATTGTAGCTCTAAGGCATTGGCAATATTTACTTCATCTTTCTACAAGCTAAAAAACTCTGGAAAGAAAACCCCAATCCTTCATTTTAATATATTGTCCATTTTCATGTTGTGTCTGAGGGAAATTTTAAATCTGTACAGTAATTTCCTGCTGGTACCTAGTCAAACCCCACTGTGACATTTAGTCACGCATGTCAGCTACAGCCTCGATTAAACAGATCACTAGATTACCGCACAGGTTTGGAGCTGCTCGTGGACTGTGATGCCTGATACATTCTCTCACATCAAAGTGAGCGTGTATCTGCTTGTTTGAGTACCTTTTTTTTTTTTCCTTATCTCTAACAGTGATTTACTTCAAATGGCTGAGAAAACAGCCGGAGCCCTGCAGGATCTCCCCGGCTCTTCTCCTGATGAAAATGAATTTCCTTTCGGATATCCCACTAACATTTGTGAAGATGCGCCTGATCAGAAGTACCTGTGCAGCAACTGCAATAACGTTCTGAAGAAAGCCCTGCAAACGCTCTGTGGGCATAGGTACTGCTCAGCCTGCCTCTCCTGGATTGTACGGTAGGTCCTCGCTGCAGAGGGTCACACCTCCGTGACCGATTCTCGGGCTGCAGGCGCTCTTGAGGGCTGCGTCGTGCCATTGTGCTCGGTAGATGAGTCTGTGGCTACCTGGCCCACTGGCCCACTGGCCTACGGTCACTTTACTATCTGCAGTGGACTGGAGGCTGCTGCCTACCTCCTTCTTGGTTCCAGTGTCAAAGTCTACAGTGTGGGGAAGGCTGGGTTACTGGGCTTGACAGATGTCATTTTTTCTATGTGTAAGTGTGAGACGATGACGATAACTGATTTAGCCTCGAAGAACTAGCGCAAGGCTGACTTAATGCTTGCATGGGACTTTACAGTCCTTAGATAAGTGATGTTACGGAATTTTAATAAACACTGTCGTAGAGTTGTATTTTTAATAACTCAGCTGGGTCGCTACATGTTAAGGTGGTGCTGCCGTTAGTGACAAACGATGACAGCCATTGTCCTGAAGAACCTGAAAACCGGGAGCTGGGTGGGGATTTGCTTTGATTGATTAGCTGCTTCTATCCTGCCTTTTCTTTCGTCAATTATGCCTTGATCCAGAGCCTTTGGAAAAGGTTATGTCTGCCCTGCAGGTGAGAGGCGAAATTGCAGTACGATTCCGTGTATATGAGCTGACTTTAGCTTTGTTGTTTTGGAAAACAGCAGCTGTCAAGGTTCAGGGACTGGGCTTTAGTACTGGCTAACTCAGTCAAAAGCCTGTTACTGTGCTTCCTCATGGATGTTATTTCTAAGCCAGTTCGTGTGTGCCAGTTCACACAGTCCCAGCTCTGATCACAGTGCGGGGCACCTGAAAAGCTGGGTCAATGCGCTGGCCACTTGTGATTTGAAGGTCAATGTATAATAATGGAGAAATGTATTGAAATTAATATATTTGACCAACTGACATAAGTCCATTACTGTAAATTTAGAATAAAGCCCTTAATGAAGCAACATAAATGGTGAATTCAGAAAAATGTCATCAGATCATAACCAGAATTGTAGTATCTTCCTACTGGAGCCTTATAGCACAAATGGGAAACTGGCTCAAACAAGCTAATTAGTACAGTTTAAAATCTGTTATGCTCTGGTCAGATGGTTGCTTTTCTGATGAGCTTCTTGGTCTGTCTGTGTTAGTTCATTATTTGCCTGGACGCTAAACAGCATTGGCAATGAAATACACCTCTAGTAAAGTTTTATTTTTCACTTTTTCTGTATAAAACTCTATGCTAGATATTTTGAGAGTAGATCAAAACCTTTGTCGTGGTTTAACCCCAGTCGGCAACTAAGTCCCACACAGCCGCTCGCTCATCCTCTCCCACCCCAGTGGGATGGGGGAGAGAATCGGAAAAAAAAAAAAAAAGTTAAACCTGTGGGTTGAGACTGAGGCAGTTTAATAGGACAGCAGAGGAAGAGACAGTAATAATAATAATAATGATAAAAGAATATACAAAGCAAGTGATACACAATGGAATTGCTCACCACCCACTGACCGATGCCCAGCCAGTTCCCAAGCAGCGATCGCTGCCCCCCAGCCACCCCCCCCAGTTTCTATACTGCCCGTGACGCCGTATGGTATGGAATAGCCCTTGGGGCAGTTTGGGTCAGTGTCCTGGCTGTGCCCCCTCCCAGCTCCTTGTGCGCCTGGCAGAGCAGGGGAAGCTGAAAAGTCCTTGACTACTATAAACACTACTTAGCAACAACTAAACCACCAGCGTGTTATCAACATTATTCTCATACTAAATCCAAACCACAGCACTGTATCAGCTACTAGGGAGAAAATCAACTCTATCCCAGCCGAAACCAGGACAACCTTTTATATGTTAACTCCCTCAAACTCAGTTCTGCACTGGTTCTACCAGATCTTTGTAATTTGAAGTCTATATATCTATCTTGGGAAAATGGTCATTTTCTGTATTTTAAAAGACTTCAGTTTTCACATTACCTTTCCTACATCGTGTTTTCATATAATTCATGAGATAAATAGGTTCCCAGCCTTATTCTTTTTTATGATCCAGGTTGCTCTTATTTTGCTGCAATACAGATAAGATTTATCGGCCTAGTCCTACTCTTGAGGAATAGAACAGCACGGGGGTTTTGACATCAGCGTGTTCAAAAATTGGCCCTTTAATGAACAAGGACTATGGACTCTGAGTGGAAATTACAATTTCCATGTTTTTATTTGTGTCAGTGTCTATACAAAGACCTCCTAAACTACAGTACACCAACTGACTTGTTATTTCATTCTTCCTTCTTTTTGCCAGGAACAATAAAAATGCTATTTGCCAGAAATGTAAAGACGAAGATCCCAGCACTTTAAGTGAGGGAAGCCTATTGGCAGAAGAAAAGGTAAGTTGTAGTTCACAGTTCATTAATTTATCATTAACCATTCTCTGGGCTACTCTATAATAGTCCTCATTGGACTACAGTTTAGGAGGGAGTAATATAAAATGTAATAGCAACTGGTAGTTACATTTTAACTTATGCTTTAGTCGTTTGGATTTCCCACAGTTTTTTGATTTAAAAAAGTATAATGGCAACCTTAGGACTTTCCAAGTCTGTCAGGTTCTGCAACATAAAATCCCACACTCTTCCATATAATTAACTTTTTATCGTCTCAAAGTAACCAGTACTTTCCTACTTGTAATAATATGTCTTAACTGTTACTTACTATCCTTAGTAAGTATCCTGGTGCATTTTCCAGTCTCATGGTTCTCTGTACCCTTCAAACATGTTGCCAAACTTACAGGTGGAGCATCCCTAAGGAAAAAGGTTAAGTGGAGGCTAGCCAGCTGAATTGCCTAGAAAGTATTTTGGCAGCCAGGGTATCTGGAGAAAATAGTGGAAAACTTAAGAGCTGAACATAATTAACTGATAAAAACTAGGCACTGCCAAATGTTTCATCTGTAATTTAACGGTGCAGATCTCTTGCTGTTGCGTGATTTTCCAGGCAGACCACTGCACTATTCTGTGTGCTGAATACAAACTGGGCCATAGGGCTCAGTCCCAGCTTGTCTTTTCCCCTCCTTTCCGATTACATGCAGGAATACCAAGAGACACATGTTCTGTCTAAATTTGTTAGGGAAAACCGAAACCCAACAGGCAGCTGGCAGTGAAGTAAAAGGCAAAGTTTAGGAAGCGGCTGCAGCAAAACAAGGAATCTGCAGTTAATGCTGAACTTGGTGATATCTCAGAAAAAAATCCTCAATTCTGCAATAAATTTCCCAGTAACAGAATTTCATGCATCATGTAACCACAAATAGGTACAGCTAAACCCTGATGAACTTCTTATTCTATGTTGACTGTCAGTTCTCTTATAACTTTGGGATTTCTGTGCTGTGGGTTTCTCACTAAGTCTGCTGGGGACTCTCTGCAAAATCTGTGGGTGGGTTGTTATAAACAGGGCCCCACTCTTGCAAGCTGATCTGCCTGCGCAGATTCTTATGCCTGTTGAGAGTCCAGACGAAGTCAATCACCACGAAGGCACGAGGATCTGCCTGTATAGATCAACTTACAACAAATGGTCGGAGTTTGTAAATGACAGGAATAATGAAGATCATTTAGCAGGTTTATTCTTTATATCTATTCCTGATAATCTCTGCTTTACCTTTGCTGTGGTTTTGTTTCATGTTGATTTCCTATGCTGTCTGTTTATGTGTTTATATTTTAAGTAAGACACCTGCACAAGGAAAAGAAAGGCCCTATCAGGATGTGTATTTGCCTTAGCTTATCCCAAGATCTATTTCTGTGGTAACTCCCATCCCTTCCCTGTTACGCTTTCAATTTATGATCCCTTCCTATACAACATAGACTTCAAGTCTATCATGGTGCTGTTCATCCGTATCAGTTACCGAGCATCTCCATCTGTCACTGAAATCAGTTAGAGGAGTGGGGGCATCCTCCCAAGCCTCTGCTCACACCATGTCTGCTGTCATTCATGGCACTGGCTTTGGGGACAGCGCCCTGCTCTGAACTGAGCATGAATCACTTGGAACTCTCCCCTCCCTGGCTGTGTGAGAGCAACTGAGGATCCTGGTTCAGCTGCGGAGGGCCAGCCTCAGCTGGAGACAAAATAAGTGCTAGATTTATCCTGGAAAGCTTTTGGTCGGATTGATCCGTTTGTTAAACTTGTTGCTAGCTGATCTTCCTGACCGCATGAGCTGTGGACCAGAGTCCTCCCTTAGCTAGAGGCCGTAAGATAGCCATCGTGGGTCGGAGTGCCGAGGAGGAGCGCACCTGGCAGCGGTTCTTGGATGAGACCTGGCAGGGGACCTCCACTTGTGTCACAGTCAGCTCTGGGACAGGCAGGACTGTGTGCCACGACAGCCACCTGTGAGCAACACCAGCAGCCCCTGCACCGACATCTTCCTTTGAAATAGCTAACATGAAAGAGGGCAGATGTGCAACTACAAGATATCAAATCAGAGAGAAATATTTTCTGTTTCCTTCTGTTTGACCCAGAGCACTTTTATGGCAGTGAGAGTCATCTCATTTACTGTATGAGGGTCTGACTCAGGTCCTTAAAGAAGTTCTGTGCGAACTCAGGTTCCCCAATAAGAGGGCAGAGGTTTGGGTGAATATTTCGAAGCAGTGACCTGTGCGGATAAAAGAAGAGATGAGGATTTCCTGCCTTGTTTTTACCTGAGTAGTGTCCATAATGATTTAGCAACTACACGTGTGAAACAAAAAGCACAGGGAGTGCACATAGCAGTAAGAAACCCATGCACTGCTGGGACTGTCCCTGTAGTTAAATATGTTTTAAATGATCTATTTTGTAATGTCAGGAAATTCCTTGAGTTTTTCTTTTATGACACGGGGAAAAAAGCCACCATGTGCCTGATAACTTGAATTTCTTTTCTTTGATTTTGCTCATAAATTAGACTAGACTGTTAGAGGCTGGGGCTCGTATGCTTTCACTAATTGTACATTGATTGCTAGCTTATTACATATATGCAGATGGAGCAATGCGTGTTTTCACACAACCTACATGATTTTTTTTTAATTCCTTGTTTGTGGAGTTGTTTGCAATTTGTGTGCAAAGTTGTTCTGGGGTAGGCTTTGCTTGCAGGTTGAGATTAGGAAAGGAGTTTCTATGAGACCTTGCATATAGAAATGTATCTCATTGTTATAATTTGTAGAATCAGCTGTGCTTCTTTTGTGTGATTTAATATGACAAATGTAGGTAAGTACAAACATCTTGCATCTAGCTTAAAAAAAAAATTGAGAATGTTGATCCTGATGATTTTGTTTGCTTATTTTTTTTTAGCTCGTTGTGTAGAATTTCAGTAACTGTATTGAAATGTGGGCATCATTTGTAAATACTTTCCTCCCTCTATTTGTAAAGCTTCCCCCCGCCCCAGCTCTCGCCTTGCTCTGTGTTATGCTACATGGGAAATCTGCAGTCCTCTGTATTGTGCACTTACCAAGAGTATCTAAAACCATGCCATTAACTGTAGTAGGGCTTGTTCCTGTGTCAGTGTACCTATTTTCATTGTGCAAAATGTAATAGTAAAAGTGTGTAGTGTTTTACATAATAATCGTACAATTCTTCATGGTTAACATAATAAAAAAGTCTACGTAGTGCTAAAAAAACCCCACTCACACATGTTTTACATTTCTTTAGTACACAGTGCCATACTAAATGGAAACAGCCACGGTCTGAGAAATGTACTCTCACTGCAGAACAGTCGCAAGTCCTCTCTGCAGCACGTTTAGGAGGTGTTAATGACCCCAGTAATGAAATGCATTCATTAAGAGTGGCACATGGCAGCACCCTATAGTTAGGGTCCTGTCAGCACATTCATTGCATGTGACGTATTTCAGGCTTCTGTGAAAAGAAACTTAAAATAATAGCTGTAGTTGGCTAGGCACATTTTCAGTAAATTTATATCACATCGAATAGTTTCTTTTTGAACCATAAGAAAGAAATGGTTTAATAATTCTTTGGGCTTCTACTACACCAAGATTAGCTTGCTATGTTAGAGAGTCTTATGGCAGTACAGTAAATTTAAAAAAAAATAGGGCATTTATCAAGATCTGAAATTTTGATACTGTCACCTTATTCCTATGTCAAGAGTGCATGCTGGAGTACTTTCTGACCAGTGTTTTTTTCCTTACTGTGTTTACTTTCCAGGCTTTCGGTGATGCTGCTATTAATAAAGAGATTTCTGAACTCAAAGTACACTGTGTGACCCTTGGATGCAGTTGGTCTGGTATCATGAAAAATTTTGAAGTACGTTTAAAGGCAGTTTCTTTAAATTAACATGCACTCTTACTCGAATGGGGACAGAAAGACAATGAAACTAGGTTCTCAGCAAACACAAATTAATACAACTTCATCAGAATCAGCGAAGGTATCATGATTTATGCCAATACAGTATCTAAAAACATGCCATTAACTGTAGTAGGGCTTTGACCAAATCCAGAACGTCCTGAATGATTGTGAAATTAATGTTGCACAAATTTACATCAACTGTGATATTTTTTTTCAGTGAGTTTACTTAATTATTTAAATGCAAGGATGCTACAAGCAGTTTTCAACCGACTAGAATGCTTAAGTCTATGGGACTAGGGCAATAGCCTTAGCATGTTTTTATAAGAGAAATAATTTCTTCCCACATAAATTACTCCTAGTGATTGAATGTGTTCGTCATTCTTTTCAGACTGATGTGAAATGCCCCAGGTAAAATATTTAAATGGGCAAGATCTGTGAATCTGCCATGCCAATTAGAACAATGAAAAAATGCAGACAATTCTGATACTAAAGCAGCTCTCTTTTGGTCCCCTGGTGTAGGAACAGCGGGTCTTTCTGCATTTAGAGCAGGGAGTCTGCTGTGTACTGTGTATGACTGTGTATCTGATAGGCATCTGAGGTGCTGCTGCCTTTGCTAATTTTGCACAAATTTTCTATTTGAGTGTATTCCTCTTTAAGGACAAATCTACCCAGTTTGCTTAGCTTCATAGTTTTGAGAATTGGAGCCCCTCTCAGCATGAATACATGGCAAAATTGATTTGAGACTTGGGCGTGTGATTGGAATTGGCATTTCTGAGCCTGTTCTGGTGGGGACAGCCATCTCCCTTGAAGACAAAATCAGTTGTGACAGAGTGCCTACAGAAGATTCAGTAAAAGAGGTCAGGGTAAATAGTTTTTATTGAAATACTGTGTCTTTAAGAATCTGATAGTAGACCTGTTGGATGTAGTCATGAAAGTAGTAATGCTGATATTTTTCCTTGTTGAGATGAGAGGATGCAAATAGTGAAAAGGAAACATTTTAAGTTCTTTTGAATATAAGTAAGAGTTGTGTCCTAGTTGTTGCATAGGTGTCAGACGTCCGTTCTTTTATGCTATGCAGAGATGTCAGCAGACTAACCACATTCATCCCACCAGCCAGAGCAGGATGGTCTCAGTGCTCAAAAAACCCCCCAAAACCCCCCAAAAAACCAAAACCAAAAAACCACCCTGAAAAACTCCAGGCTAAGAGTTAGGGAATCCTCTAAGACAAGGACAAAACCTGGGACCAGGATCGTGTTATTGTCAAACAAAAGCGCTAGAGAGAGACAGTTGAAGGGAGACCTCATGTTTGAATTTATCAGAAGTTGTTTGTTGCTTTTTTTTTTTTAAGTTAAGAATTAACAAAAAAGCCCCGGTAAAGTTGGTGATTTTTTCACCAGTAATCTCGGTAACACTGTGGAGTTGGACTTTACCCAAGCTTAGAAGAAATGCAAAGCAAAGATCTAGGCTGGCAGAATGGAGACTATTTATAGATAAAAGTGTATCTGCAGTTTACATTTTGGTTTATAACTTTTTACTTCCAGGAGCACCAGAGTTTATGTGAATATGCTTTAATCCCTTGTCACACCGGTTGCGGACACGTGGTGATGAGAAAGAAACTTGCAGATCATTTGGAAAATGGATGTGTTAATAACGTGATGATGTGTCAGAAGTGTAAGCAGAGCTTATCCAGTAGTGAATACCAAGTAAGAACGTATCTCTGTTTCAAATGAGGGCTTTATATTAATGGCTTAAATAATCTGTCAGGACATTTTTCATCCTGATTTCATGAATGCTAGTGCACTTGGAGAATATTGAATTTTCCTGAGTTTGCTAATGTTCCCATGCATGCGTTGCAGGGAAAAATGAGCCGTATTTCATAGTCTGTTTGGGATGTTACAACAGGGAGGGAAATATCTGTGTGCTCGTCCAGGGCTTGGGCAGCCCACGTTTTAGCTCCTGTCTCAGAGTATGTGTCCCAGTATGAGGTTGGTAAGAAGCAGCAGAACACAGACGGTGGCAGGGAAGAGATCCTGAAAGTGGCTAGAGTTTTATTCCAACTAAAACTGCCCACAAATTTGTAAGGCAGGCTTTTGTCAGATAGTGTTTCTATTCGATATGATCAGGTATAACTCTCCGAATTAGCGGCAGTGTCCATATAGTCCAGGAAGAGCATACTCTGAATCTGCCAGAAATTTCTCAGTGACTATTTAAACATATGTAATTTATATTTTTTAGGTTTAAGTTGTGTTTCCCACTCTTGTGACAGGGACTTGCAAAATGTATGCATATATACCCTGTATGTATACATGTACAGGGTAACACTAGTCTGTCCCCAGCATTTGCTCAAAATCCTCTTTAAAACAACTTTTTTTTTAACACAAGAATGTAGTTGATCATCAAAATTTTAAGTTTCTGTTACTAAACCTATTCCATTCTTTCTTAAAAGTAATTACTTTCTCAGTCAATGCTCAAAATTATGATAGCGGGGCAACATTACGTGTTACTGACTTGCAGATTTTAAGTACCTTTATACATTCATTTTAACTTAAATGTTTATTTTCACCTGGTTTTGTACATGCAGCACGGTACAAATTCTGGGAGTGGTCTGAGGGCTTAAAGTGAGCTAATAGAAACTCTTCTGTGCTGCTGAAGGAGGAAATGGTGTGGTGGGGCAGATCAAGAGTGATAGAAAATCAGCTGTTCTTGTATAAAGAGGTTGCCGAAGATACAGCTTCAGTAGCACACTTAGCCTCACGATGGAAGTGCATCCTCTTGTTTAGGACATTTTGTGATTACAAACTCCTGGAGCAAAGCAATAGCAGCGTGAATGAGAGATGCCCCACGCCTGCTAACACTGCTATGTGTGTTTTGATTTGAAAGCTCTGAAAAGGTTCTCATCCCAACCCCACCTAACTTCTGACCCTGTGGGCTCTAGTACCACCGAAAACGCTGCTGGTGCAACACTCTTTTGGGGTGTAGCATAATGAATATTGTTCCCTCCAGATGATGTAAAGAGAGTAATTGCCAGCCTTGGAGTTTTGTCCTGGAATGGGGGCAAAGTGATCTAAGACCTACATGGTAGGAGGGTTGTGAATATCTCAAAAATGTAGCCTGAGGTAAATAGTAGTGGATAGCTTTGCCTGTCATAACTGTTACAAATTTATGCCTTTCCAAATACTGAGCTGTAAGATTCACTCACCGCAGGGGTAAGAGTCCCCCTGGGGTAAGGATAAGGCGCTCTTGCTAAAACGCGCTTCTTGGGAGGCTTTTGCATGTGCTCTTCAGATCTTACTAACTCTTCCAGAGAGAGGAGAACATCTGGACCCAGGCACATTTTACCAGTGCTAAATCCAGTGCATGTTTCACAGAGACAGTAAATACCAGAAGGTGGCAACACTTAATCCCTTTCAGCCTTCTGTAAGTGCAGTAGGCAGGCTGGAGGAGGAAACTGAGCTGCGCAAGTGTTCCCTGAGCACCTTTCTCTCTTCAGAGGTCTGTGATACCGCAGATCCACCTCAGCGGGCTTCATTTTCCTGCAGTGAAGAACTGTTTTCCTCCCACTCATTCCAGTTAGCTATCATCTAATTAATTTTTTGGTTAGGAAACCTTGGCAACCAAGCAGGGGACTGGCCTTGAGATGTTGTTTTTTCTCTGCCTGCCTTAGTTAGTATTGTTAAATTGGAATTTTGCTGGTTACATGATCTGCTTTATTAAATTTGCCGTTAAGTGGCATAAGAATTTTGATTATTTGTGTGTATTCCATGTATCCACAGTCCTCTGGGAGCAAATAGTAAGTTTTGGGCACTGCTCGCTCTCTCTCCATCTTAGCCAATCAGTTATTGCTCTTGTGATTTTTGTGTTTCCATATTTTAAAGGAACTTCTCACTAGCCCCTCTCCCCCTCAAGAAATCAGCGATCTGAAGGAGTCAAACAGCAGAAAGGAAAAAAATAAAGGCATACTTTGTGCAATAGCTAAGATACAGCATATTAAAAAATTAGTTAGAGAGTGAGAAAAACCTATGGCTGTATTTCTGGGGACTGAACGAGAAACCTCAGGACTCTTTGCAGGGGAGACTTGAAGGTTGCTGGAATGGCTTTATCAAAAAATTTCTAGACTGCTATAGGAAATGTAGTGGCATGCAAAGGTGTTTATAAAGATTAAAGACAGCCCCCCTGCACGGAGTGAATTGAAAGCTGACAGTTGCTGTGTTAAATACACATATTACAGTTGTATGAACCAATGGCAGGAGGATTACTTTACCCTTCTTGGAGCCAGAAATGGCAGGAAGTCTCATGTTAGCGGTAATGTATATTGCATTACCACATCATGATGGAAAATTTGGATTCCAGCCTTCAAAATGCAGGATGCAAGAAGGGTCTGCCCATGAAGCAAACTGTATGAAGTCAATGCAAGAAGAGTTTATATTTGGGTTTCCTGTGTATTTGCTTTCTGTTCTGTAATCCACCTGCATGTCACTGCATATATATGTGCGTGTACATATATGTGTATGTGCGCACGTAACTGTGGTTTGAACTGGGCAAGACTTGTACATTGCCAATCTTGTATCAGATTTCCCAGGGTGACCTTGCAAAGCATCTCTAAGTTGTTTCCAAAAGCTCTGGGCCCCATAAGCGAAAGATGACACTTTGTACTTTCACTGAGCAGGTATTGCATCTGGAGATCTGTCACTGAACGTGCCTGCTAGGCTGAGAATGCGAGCAATCGGCTTAGAGGCTTGGCTTGAGAAACCTCTGAGCCTGCAATTCGTGGTACGGGGGACAGCAGCACCTGCTTTTAGCAGATGTGCTTTAGTCCCAAATTTCTGGATGTTATTTCCTCTAAAAAGAAGCCAGAGAACTCTGGAGCCCGTTGTGTAGTGAGGCCCAGAGCGGGCACTCTCTGGACAAGGGCACTGGATTTTGCACCATGTGCTGTGGAGCTCACAGTGCTCCTGGGGAAGTTACCCTTCCTTCCTTTACACTCTTCCTTAAATCCACACGTTCCAGGAAGAAAGCAAGAAACTTATTGTAAACTTTTTCCTCCATAACACAGAATTTCTTGTAGAAAAGCCTCCCAAATCCCCGAGTTTCTGTAAAATGGGAATAGCATTCCCAAACACGAGCTTTGTTTCAAAGACTCTTAAATAAATATGCTTGATGATTTTAATAATGTCCTGAATACTTTTCTTCTGGTTTTAACGACAGGAACATTCATGTGAAAACAATTTGTGTAAGGAACAAAAACATGTGCAAACAGAAACACCATCAAAGGAAAAGGTAGGTAAAAGATGAGTGAATGCAGTACAGCTTTATTTCAATTCATAAAAGTATCACTTGTTCATTTAGATTAAATGAACTTCTGAGAACATCTTCAGATATAGCAGTGTATCTGGGCACTTTTTACATCCCAACATAGCTCTGCTTGACTACCTTCTCTTCCCTGCTCCCGCAATTAACTTTATTAAATTATCTTCTCAATTAATCTTACAAAAATGGGGAAAATTTTTTTTTCCTTTCAAATATTCAGGGAGACCCATGTGAGCAAAAGAAGAATATGCTGTACAACAGCATATTTGAAGAGCCGTGCTTTTGTTGTGAAGGGGACTAAATTTCAGCGTCAGTCAGAGCTTTTGGTCTGATAGATCTGTTCGTTCCCAGGACGTGCTGCACGACACAGCTCTTCTGCGCATTCTCAAAGAGCAGGAAGAGGGTTGGAGTGGCTGTGTGGATGCTGTTATCCACTGTGGTGGGCCACTTTGCTTACTGACATCTTATTTACGAGAAGTTGTTACTAGGGGATCACTGTGGTTTGGTAAATTATGTTATATCATTATGGGGTCTGTTAGATGGACACTTAACTGCCAGGCTGCGTGCAAGAAACTTGCAATCAACCACACTCTTGATTGATTTAATTTTCAAAGCTGGTTGGACTCTGTAAGCTGCGGTAATACCTTGACTTGAATTAACCCGATTTATAGCTGCTGGGATTGTGGCCTAGCTCTTTGTAGGTAAATAAAAGCATCCCTTTCAATTGGTATTGGATTATTGTCTTTCCTTTTTTTTTTTTTTTAACAGAACTGCTCTACACCCTTAATCAACAAGGATGGATGTCGTTTTTCTGAAGTCGGCTGTTCATTTAGGGTGAGTGAAACGGCTGCCTTCAGGAAGGTCTCAAATGTTGTACAACTCAGCACTGTGCCTTTGGTCTAGCCAGCCTTTGTGTTCAAGGTAGTAGGCTTTGATTTAAATATATCTTTAAGAAAAGGGAGAAAGCCTACCCACTTTTAATAGACCAGCAGAGGTAATGTTGGAACTGCTACGGTTACCCAGTGTGTGTAAGGTGCAGTTCAGCCTGTGATACTCTGTGTCCTGCACTGTGCGTTCACTTCAGTTAAAAATAGATGTTTATTACAATTCTGCTGGTTTATCAGATACGCTGTTCTACTCTGTTTTGGATATTCCCTTCAGGGTAGTGCCTCTTAAAACAGTAATGGGTCGTCTTTGCATTTCAGTTGGCATCTGTTACCTTGTCTCATTTTTTTGTGCACAGTATATGTATTAAATATTGGCTTATTTGAGAATCTTGCTGGGGCTCTGCCTGGCCTCCTGTTTAATACAGAAATCGTAGCCAATTGTTTTCTTTTTACGTAGCATGTGTGCACCTGTGAACACGTAGCCTAAACTGACCATTAGAGGGCTTGTTGGTTTTCCTCTCTCCATGTCACCTCTGAGAGTCAGCTGCTATGTAGCTGGACCTGTATCTTGCAGTTTTTCCATCTCTGTCTCTCCCAAGAAGTTAAAGGGAACGCTGCTTGATTTGGCCCCAGGCCAGTTACGGTAGTTGTACGGAGAGTGTATTGACAGTGTCGTCTTCTTACAGGGAAGCAAAGAGAAGATAAAGGAGCATGAAAAAACTGCGGTTGGGACCCACATGCTGCTTCTGCTGCAGCACATAAAGCAACTGAAGGCAAACTTGTGCACTGCTGCCAAAGCTGCAAATGGTTCCATCCCCCAGTCAGAGCTGAATGTGAATAGTGCAGGAAAAAGCATCTCTCATCTGCAGATCCCAGGGGGGCTGGGAATCAATGGGGATCTGGAAGTAGACTGTATTTCTGGATGTTCTGTTTCTGAAGATGAATCTGTTCTGCAACAACTTGTGAGGGAGAAGGTGATTTCTGAGCTAGAAAATAAGCTACATGTGTTTGAGAATATTGTGGCAGTGCTCAATAAAGAGGTGGAGACCTCTAACTTGGAAATCACAGCCTTTCGGAGACAGAGTGAACTTGATCAAAATATAATACGAGGCCTTGAACTGAAGGTAAATAATTATGATAAGCGTTGTCTGTGTGCTTGTTCTATAGATAACAAATATTTACATATATCAGTGAGAGGTGGCGTAGGGATCAGGACAGGGATGGGCATAGGAATTTGAGCTGTGAGGTGGCCACATCTAGACACATCTGCAGGATCCTCTTGGTGTTTTGGATAAATTTTCAAATGGGGATCTCTAATATTTGTTACCTAAATCTGTGTTTAGGTACCTAGATATTCCTGAGAGTTTTGAATGTTCAGAATTTGCCATGGTCAGACTGTGAGCAAGCAAGACAGTTGTTTAATTGACCGGTCCTCTTAAAGCAGCATTATGCCTGGAAGACCAACCAACCATCTGTCCAGTTGCTTGCCTTATGTGTTGACACATAACTGTCACTGAAAAAGAAATCAAAGGAGACCCTCCAGAACATGAGGACTCCAGAATGATTCTGCTACGTCTGCAGCACAGCAGCCTGGAGACAGGGGTTGATTGAGAACCAATTTGTTTTTTCTAGATTGCAGAGTTGCACCGGTGCCTGACGCAGAAGGATGCAGGCCTGAGCAGTCTTCATAAGAGCCTTCTCTTCTCTGAGCAAGCTTCCTATGATGGGGTCTTTCTGTGGAAAATAACAGACGTTGGCAGGAAGTTACAAGACTCTGTGACTGGAAGAGCAGTCAGTTTGTATTCACCAGGTAAAACGCAGGACGTATACGTGTGTTAGCAAACCCCAGTCCTTTAGAAACACCCCTGATTTCTCTAGAATGGTGCTTCTTTCTGCTCACGTGGACAGGAGGGCCTTTAAAATAGCTCCTTAAACTGAGGTGCTGTTTATGCGAAGACCTCCCGTTCTCCCGCCTGTAATTCGGGGCAGCTGTGATGTGCTTTTCCACAGAGTTGTGTTCTATTCCGGGCTTTCGTTTTGCAGTTTGCCCTCCGCTGCAGCTACTTGCAGTGACATCTGCTGGATCTGCCTCGTTCAGCCCACAGCTCGGTGCCTGACGGTACCGAAGGGCTTTCTGCAGCAGTTAGCTCCCATGGGAGAAGTAATTTGATTAGGTAAAATATGCTGGTGTGGCTAATAACAGGCTAATAATAACTTTCACCGAGGCATGAGGCACTAAGGGATTCCAGCCGCTGGATTTTCATTGCTTATAATCTCCAGGGTGTACTGATTTGTCTGTTCTCATCTCCGTGATAGCAAAACACGTCATACACTATCTTTTCCCATACGTCAGAACACTCGTTACGTCTTTTTCTTTCCAAGGAGGCTTTACTAATGAAGAGCTCTGATTTTCAGCTTTCTACACTGCGAAGTATGGCTACAAGGTCTGCCTGAGGGTTTATCTGAACGGGGATGGGACAGGAAAAGGAACCCACGTGTCCCTGTTCTTTGTCGTCATGAGAGGAGACTACGATGCTCTGCTCCCGTGGCCTTTCAGACACAAGGTAAGAAGGGCAACCTTTTCATACCTGATCCCAGCATAAACCCACTGCTTCTCCCAGTGAACACAAGGGGACTGCTCCTCTTAAGTTCAGTGGAAGCTGGAGCGTTTTCCCGTTTTCCTCTCCGATGGCTAGTAGTCATACTGTAATCTTGGGTAATAATTTGTCTCTGAATGGAGTGATTTACACGCAGGGAAAGCGAGATCCCATACTGTGCCTTGAGGGATTTTCAGACACCAGAATGCTGGTGTTTGATATATCCCAACCTGTGTCCACCTGGGCTAAAGCCAGAGACGCATTTTTTCCTGGCTCTTGCTATACATAGCTAATACCAATTTATGAGGGAATTATGATTTGTTGCCTGAAGTACAGGTGTCGGAACTGTGAGGTTAGAGTTCTACTTACAAACATGCCATAGATCATAGAATCATAGAATCGTTTAGGTTGGAAAAGACTTTAAGATCATCCAGTCCAACCATTAACCTAACACTACCAAGGGTAGAGTAATAATTAATTTCATGTTTCCTGGCTTGGTGGCTGGATTATTTTTTAATGAAAGTAAAACTAGGAATCATTAAGGTTGGAAAGGATCTCTAAGATCATCAGCCCAACCATCAACCCAACACCCCCATGCCCACTAAACCATGTCCCCAAGTGCCATAAGATGTCTTATGTGATCCCGATCTTATTTTTTCTCATTTTGTGAGTGCGATCGGAGAATGGCAACAATGGTTAGAAAAGCAGTGAAAGTGTGCACAAGGTTCTGGTCTCTGTTCTAGCACTTGCCTTCGTGTGGTAATAATTCTGTAAGCCTTTTATATAAATAGCTTTACTACCATTTAGCGGCCAAAATAAATAGAAATCAAAGTTCCCAATCCTCACTGTATTAAAAAATTACTACATACATTTCACGTTCCAAGCCAAAGAACAGTGAGTTAATAAAAGTGGTAATGAGATGGGGAGATTTTGTATAAAATTTTATATATTTAGGTTGTGTCTTTTACATATTTGTGTACGGGCAACTGAGGTGTTTCTTTTGATTTGAAACCACAATAACAGAGTGAATGTAATGACTGTCACCAAACTTGGGATTTGTTTAAGCTGTCAGGAGAGAGAGGAAAAAAGTCTTTGGACTGTGCAGTTCTCTACCAAGAAATAATTCCTTACTTTATTTTATTTTATTTTATTTTATTTTATTTTACGGGTGGTAAGGTTTTAAATACTTTATCTGGGAAGCATTATGATCTCCCTCATTCACATTAACTGACCTTGCAGGTTGCGAAATGTTAATTGTATTTTGTATTTAATTATCGATAGAGCATCCAGCTGCTTTTGTGGCATGTTTGCACTTCTGTCTTTGCTATTTTCTGGTTTATTTTTCAGTTCAATAACTCTGGTTTATTTTTCAGTTCAATAACATCATTGCTGCATTCTGTTTTTCAGGTTACGTTTATGTTGCTTGACCAAAATAATAGGGAACATATTATTGATGCATTTCGGCCAGACTTGACTTCTGCTTCCTTTCAGAGACCAGTGAATGATATGAATGTTGCAAGTGGCTGTCCCATGTTCCTCCCTTTGTCCAAACTACAGTCACCTAAATATGCCTACGTGAAAGAAGACACGCTTTTCCTTAAATGCATTATAGAAACAAATTAGTAAATCTTGAAATATGGGTGTCTGGTAAATCACCCACTGAATTGCATTAGTTTACAAGAAAAGAAAAAACTATCAGCTTGAGACCTTGTGTTAGTTTTCGTGTGCACACAAAATCCGGGGCGCCTGAGCCTGTGCTCCGCTGCATCAATTCACATCCGCTGAAGGTCTGCCTGCTAGAGTTAGCTACCGCTGAGCATGCCGAGTACCCACGTTGCCCAGTGCCCCACGGAGCATGCTGTTGCAAATGAGATCTGTGAATATTTCATCAAAACCCTCCCGGTTTAGATGTAGGCTACGGTCACACCCCTACAGATGCGCTTGTGGAAAAAGGCGCTGTTCTTTCTCACGCCCGGCCCCGGCGTGGGTGTCATTCTGCCTAGATGTCTGGCAGGGAGTGTGGCCCGTGCTCCCTTCTAGCACCCTTGGGTTAATAGGTCTCGGGGATGCGAGGGGTGCAGCGGAGCTTTCCCCATCCTCCGGCAGCGCCGCGGCGTGTGCGGGTCCCTTTCCCGGGAGGTACGGAGCGAGCGGCCGTCGGTCTGCGCTGGCTGGCAGCCCTGATGTGGGATTTTGGCTGTTCCCCCAGCAGGGACAAGGGCAGATTCCTTCCCCTGAGGCACCGATCGGGTGTCTCTGTCTGCGCTTATTGATGACCTTGAAAGCAGTGAGTTGTGGATAGCATTTGTAGCTTGAATTCCTTATACCGGATGATTTCTTTCTTGCTATTTATTTTACACCTGTATTTATGTGCTCTGTAAAGAGACGTTCTATTGCATCTGCAGTCGGTGACCACATTACGCTGTGCCTTGGGGAAATTACCTCTTGCATTTCCAAAGGAGTTGTCTGACTTTCCCGTTTCAGACATGGAGCTCTGAGGATTGTTAACCCCCAGGAAGTCCAGAGCTGCCGGTCCAAGCAGTGGTAAGGACCCCTCAGTAGCTTTGTTTTAAAGTGTTCTGTCACTTCCTGAACCTTCAAGGCAAGTGACTTATTAGAACATAATTTTTTTCCCTGCTTATTTGTTTTTATGTGCTCTGATGCTTAAGTCTTTTCACACGCTAAAATAGAAGTAACTACTAGAAATGTTTTTGTCCTGTCTTTTTTAAATAGAGGTAAGGATTTACTATTTTTGTTTTTTATAAGCGAGTCAAGCTTGGAAATGTCTAGATGTGTGAGAAGTTCAAATGCTACACCTTATCCCCAAAAAGCGGCGAGCCTGGCCGCCTTCCTTCCCTGCTTAACAACTGTTTGACAGAGTCAGTGGAGTTGAGTTGGGTTTTGGTGCAGCCGTTTCTGAACTTGGGGCAGACTCACGCCGCGGCGCAGCTTGCTTGTCCAGGACTGCGAGCCATTCCACGGGGCAGGCGGGACCGCAGCACGTCCCATGTCTCAGCTGAAAACACCAAGCCGACAGGCAATATTGTGCCCGTTGCGTGAGATGGGAAAGGAGAAACTGTTTGTCCACTTACATTTTGCAAACCATGGAAACCGCAGCCGGCTAGCGGAGCTGGTGAAAGGTCACGTGCTGTGACTAACCTCCAGCCCGACTGCCGGCATATGAAGAGATTTTTCAAATCCCTCACTTCTATCTTGACAGCATCCTTTAAAATAATTAGTTGTGATGAAGTATCAAATTTCAAAAAAACAACCCCACCCCATAAACAAATACCTATCAAAGCTTGTTTGGGGAGGAACTGGATATTGTTTGCCATCGCAGACACACACAGACTCCCTCTCTCTCTTTTTCTCCCTTCCATGTTTAAAATGTTCTTTCAGGGACAGAAAGTTATTTTTCCAGTAATGTGCCAGCCCCTGTAACCACACTGGAGTAATATGCCTAAAAATATTACGCTTTTCATGGCTGTGTAATTTTGACAAGTGCTGTATTTATTACAATCATTTGTGTTTTCTTACAATTGTATTTATTTCCTAAATAAAGCGCACTAACTTAAAAAAGGTTTGTGTCTTATTTTCACTCTAAACCAGGCAATTGAGCGACTTGGATAGCGGTTTGCTATAGAAACAGCCGAGCAGCGCTGCAAAACTCAACTTCTTTCTACAGCAGGAGCACCAAGCAGGTTCACCCAGCGCGGGGCCCGGCTGTGCCGTGCGCTGCCCGGTGACCCAGCAATAGCCGGCCCCTGTCCCAAAGAGCTGGTAATGCCAACAGTCCAATGCTCGGGATGGGGTGCCTTGCCGGTGGACCTGCAGGAAGTGGGTGGAAATTTGGGGAACGAACCCTAAAGCATCTCTCGTGGCGGTGCCGTTAACGATAGGGTCACTTTTTCATTGCCTGCGGAAGCTGGCACGTTTGTATGAAAGATGTGGCACCCAATATATGGGTGTTTGACCCGGAAAATGGAATAAAGGGTCGTGCAACTCCCACTCCCGCGGCGCTACCCCCCTCCCCGACCCCCCGGCCCCTCCCCCCCCCCCCGCCAGCCGGGCTCGGTGCAAAGAGGGATCTGAGGGCAGGGAGGGGAGCGTGGGTGACGATGGCCCGATCTGGCACGGCGAGCTTATTTCCACAGCCTCTTCTGGCTACCGCAGCCAGAGCGGAGCGGGAGGGAGGCGGCAGCTGAGCTTACCCGAATTACTGCAGATTAAGATAGTGGTTGGCTCTGCCTGGTTGCCAGGGGAGTTGGAGTGGCTCCATACCTGTGTAAGCTTTCCTTGGCCCTCGCTGGCCGTGGAGCTGCTTTTCCACTGGGGGGTTTTAATTAGCTGCTTTTATCGTAGTGGGCATCGACTTCCCGGGGCGGCTTGGCTGCCTCTTTGCTCCGCTGTCACTTTTTTGTGCAAAATCCTTTTCCACGTAGAGCTGTTATTTCTCAAAAGTAATTAGGAGGGTTTTCCTTGTGTGTGAGAGACAGAGAGAGAAAAGGTGGGGGGAAATGACTAAAACCGTGCGTGGGAGAGAGCTGGGGAAAGAGAGAAAGCGTGTGGGAGAGAAACCGTGAATATGTGCGAGAGAGGATATTTATGCATGTCTGCATCGAGGGAAGCAAAAATGTACGTGTGTGCGTGCAAGTGCAGGTTGAGGGATGCATCCAGCGGAGAGTGGATGACCTGACGCCTTCAGGCTTTTGTCCAGCGTGATCCAACCAGGAACAATTACGCTGATTTTCTTCAAATCCTGTGCACAGCCAGGATTTCACCGACGGCGGGAGCCCGGTGTCGCTCCAGGCGGGAGGTCAAATCTCCCAGAAGCAGCACAAGCTGCAGGGAAGCAGAAGCATCCAAACTGGCCGAATGAATACCCCGGAGAGAGGATGCGATGCACCGGGGCTCCGTGCGTCCCGGTGTGACCGATACCCGTCCGTGCCTGACCTGCCCGGCGCGTCCCTTCTGCAGGGGGAGCAGGGGGAGCCCATGTGGCCCTCGCCGCAGCGTCCTCCTCAGGGGACGGGGGTGAAGAAGGGACCCGCTGGGTAAAAATCCATTTTAAAAGTTTATTGGAAGCCCTTTAGTTCCAGTTTTCTTTCTAGCCACGGATTCCCAACAGGGAAATCCCTGAAGTAAACCGTGAGGAAAAGCTGCGAGGCCGCGGAGTTTGCGGGACCCTGGTGCTCATCGTGCCGCAGCGCAGGGCTGGGGCGGAGGTGCCTCTGACCGCTTCCGTATGGAATCACTGGAGGAGCATCGCGCCGAGCCAGCTTTTGGGATGACTCAGGCCTGGATGGCAAATGCCTGCGAAGGGAGGAAATGCGTTACCGGCTGTGCTCGTGGGGCCGGCAGCTCGCTGGTGTAGGACCGTCCCTGGGACGGGACGTAGACGAAGCGTTGCTCGTTTAGAGCCGGTAAGAGCCAGCCTCGCAGGAAGCAGAGGCTGAAGTGCCGTGAGACTTGTGAAAGCGGCACGTTTCTCGTGGGCTCTGCGTGCGTGCGATTGGAGGCAGAATCTTGAGATTACTCAAGGCCCGAAACGGGTCACCGTGCAGACGCCAGCCACGGGCCGGATCCGTACAGGAGTGTCGTTGGCTGTGTGAGCAGCACCGGCCCTGGCGCTCGCCTCGGCTCCTGAAGAGGAAAAGCAAAGAGTTGGAGCCTGGGATCCGGCTTGGGAACACCCTGCCAGAGGAAAAGGGGAGCAGAATTGCCCCCGGCCAGCAGAGCCACCCGTGGGGCCATGCCGCGGGCTCAGGGGTGGCAGGGGGGTCCCTGCCTGCAGGGCATCACCGCACAGGCACAGCCCAAACTCCTCTTGAACGCTGACAGTCACGGTGGCACGACCGGGCGTCGCTTGCCGCAGATCTGCAGCTGGGTGAGCAGTGCAAACAGCCCCCAGTAAGCACACATCTGCACTCTCCATTTTGCACTTTTCCCCAGGAGCAAAACAGGCTTTTCTTTCTTCCTTCCTCTTTTCCTTTTTCCTTTTCTTTTTCTTTTTGTTTTTCTTTTTTTTCTTTTTCCCTCTCCTTATCTCTCCTTTCCTTTCCTTATCTCCCCTTCCCTTCCCTTCCCTTCCCTTCCCTT